TTTTTTCGTCGCCATCCCCGCCCACTTTGTTAAGCCCCGCCCACCGATGACAGCTGGGCTTCACTCCAACACCCACCTCAAACCGCCTTTTCCCGGCCTCCGGGACTTCTTGGAGCCGAGTTATGAATTTTCGTCGCAAACTCCACCCACTTTGGTCAAGCCCCGCCTACCGATGACAGCTGGCCTCCACTCCTCCATCCACCTCTATCCACCTTTTTCCGGCTCATCAAGACTTCTTCGGCCCGAATTATTAGGACTTGTAAAAAATGCTGTACACTTCAGAGCGCGCTCCACCCATTGTGGGCAGGCCTTCGCCCACGTCATATATGCTGGGAACACCTGAGACACTGCTCCCCTACACCAGTTTGTTTTCTGCGCTGTAGGCTTTCTCCCAACCGAGTTATGAAATATTTCATAAAGCACTGCTTTGTTGGAGAACGCCCCGCTCACCAGGGGTGGGTCTCCCTAATTCGATGTGACTTACCAATGCACCCTCTTTACCCTCTTTTTGGCTCAGTTTCAAGGTCTTTTCCAAGAGAATTGATGTTTATGTTTGTTTTGTACTTCGTTAAACCTTGCCCACCCGTCCTACACTTGACCCCCTCCCTCCAGGGGGATCCCGAGGAGCTAGAGAATTGCGTGACAGACATACAGAACGACAGAACGACAGACGAAGCGCTTTATAGAAAATAGGATTATTACAACAACAAGCATTAACTGATTATCTGGAGACGGCCTACTCATATAAGTTGTTCTTTCACCGAGAAAATATTAGGTTGTTCGGGAAGTATTGCGGGTTTTTGACCTCCATATTCGAAGGGACGCATTTTCACTCGAATTGAACATTTTTTGTCGGTACAAAAAGTGTTTCAAAAGTACTAATCTTTCCTAACAAAATGCGCACTCAGATGCCGCTCCCACATTACAATCACCTTCTGCAGGCAATGATATCGTCGGGCATCATTTTCACATCAGTTCGAACAATGAGACTTTTCTTACTGAAGAAGTTGACGAGAAGGTTGGAAAAGGGGGTATTGGTGAGAGAGAGGGCCAATGAGCAAGACTTGTGGATCGGAGCTTCGTACGCCAGTTTGCTCAATACTTGCTAGGTCGTTTATTGGACGTGTGGCCGCGCCAGTCTGCAATAGGCTTCCCTTAATTCCTTCGGTCGACGAACTTGATGTTGCTAGAGCATCTCATCGGTATGCTGTAGAGTCAATGGTGTTGTGTTGAGCCCACCTGGTTTCCAAGAGCTGGGTTGGATCAGTCCCGTAGGCAGGGATAGCCGAGTGGTTAGGAGGTTAGACTCATGTCTGCACCCCTGAAAATCGCGAGTTCGATCCCTGCCGAGGTTGACCATGCCCCACAAAAATTGCAAAAATGGTTCGACTCCAGCGTCAGGCCCAGGTTCATACGCCGGCTGATGAAGACCCCCGCCACAGCAAACATGTCTGAAGTCGAAAAAGTAATCAGTGATAAAGCTAGGACGTCACCCGGAAGTGGCGCGCAGAACCCCCGCCCGAGTTCTGTGGTCAGTATGCGAGGGCTACCGAGGAGTGACCGGCCTCGGCCAAAGAAGCTAGTTCGAATGCCCGAGTTCTGTGGTCAGTATGCGAGGGCTACCGAGGAGTGAACGGCTTCGGCCAAAGAAGCTAGTTTGAATAGGGACTCTGAACGTAGGATCGCTAACCGGGAAATCCCGAGAGGTTGCCGATCTGATGACGCGCAAGAATATCCAAGTCCTATGCCTTCAAGAGACGCGAAGGAAAGGGGCTAAGGCCTATGAAATTGGGGAAGGTGTCAAACTCTACTACAATGGGGAAGACACCAAGCGGAATGGTGTGGCCATAGCGGTTGCGGAGTCGCTCAAGGACTATGTCTCCGCTGTGAACAGAATTAGCGAACCGATCATGGCTGTAAGGATAGACACGAAGGAGGGGTACTGGACCATACTCTCCGAGTACTACGCACCACAAGCTGGTTGCTCCGAGAATGAGAAGGACGAGCTCTATCTGAGCCTTGACGATGCCATCAGATCGATCGGAAGGTGATTACCTGACCATGGCAGGTAACCTGAATGGTCACGTCGACAGTGACAGAAGAGGCCGGAAAGGATGCATGGAGGTAGAGGGATAGGAACGAGGAACGCTGAGGGAGAGAGGGTTCTGGACCTGGCTACAACCCACGACCTGGCAGTCTGCAGCACGTTCTTCGCGAAAAGTGAGACTCAAAAGGTAACCTACAGCAGTGGAGGGAGAAAGATGGAAATCGACCGTGTGCTGGTAAGAAGATCAACCCACAAAACTGCGAAGGATATCAAAGTCCTTCCCGGCGAAGATCTGGCTCCTCAGTACAGGCCCCTCCTGGCAGACATTGCAATAGATCTCCTTAAGAAGACAAGGGTAAGAACCGAGAAGAGAATTCGGTGGTGGAAGTGGCACCAAGCGGAGAGGAGAAACCTCAAGCGAAGGATAACGGAAGTCGGTCGATCCTAACGGGCCAATACAGCGGACTTGGGGCAACGCGACTGAGACCATCCTGCAATGAGCCAAGGAGGTTCTGGGCCAGACGCGAGGTGGATTCAGAGGAGATAGGGCAGCGTGGTTCTGGAACGAGGAGGTCCAGCGAGTCGTGAAGCAGAAGAAGGAAGCATACAAGCGCTGGCAGAAGACCCGGAGCCCCGAGGACCGCGCTGCCTACAAGGGTTGCAAGAAGCTCGCTAAGGCCACCCTAGCCAAGGCAAAGAACACGGAGATGGACGCCTTGTAAGAGAAGTTGGAAAGCACAAACGCAGAGAAGTTCGTCTTCAGACTGGCCAAAGACCGGCATCAGGGAACTCAACATATCAGGGTGGTGAAGAGCGGTAAGAGCAACAACGGCGCCATACTGAGGAAGCCAGCCCAAGCTCTGAGGAGGTGGGAAGAGTACTTCAGAGGTCTTCCGAACGAGGAGTTCTCTCACGAGAACAACTCACGGGCAGAGGCGACAACTGGTCCCATCGCACTCTGGACGGAGGATGAGGTTCGACGTGCCACTGGGAATGTATAAGATTCGAAACGCAGTTGGTCCAGCTGGAGTACGCATAGAGGCTTGGAAGGCCCTGGGAGAGCACAGGGGTGAGGTGGCTCACCAGCTTCCCAAACACGGTGACTACCGAAGGAAGAATGCCGGATGCCTGGAGAACAAGTACTGTCGTCCCCATCTTCAAGCAAAATGGAGACGCGATGGACTGCTCCAACTACCGCCACATCAAGTTGACTGCTCATACCATGAAGATATGTGAGCGCCTGGTCGACTCAAAACCTTCCTGGGAGATCTGGACAACGTCCAGTTCGGGTTCATGCCCGAAAGGTCTATAACGGATGCCATCTTCATCGCTATGCAAGTGATGGAAAAGTACCGAGAAAAGCGCCGACCCTGCTACCTAGCCTTCCTTGACCTGGAGAAGGCCTTCGACCGACTACCTCACACAGTACTATGGAGAGCGCTCAGGGAGCGGAATGTGTCAGAGCGCCTCATCTCTCTGGTGAGGGATATGTACGAAGGAGCCAAGGCAACTATACGCACCCCACACGGCCTAACGAAGGAAGTGGACATCACGGTTGGTGTGCGCCAAGGGTCAGCTCTGAGCCCGTTCCTCTCCCTCCTGACACTGGTGAAGGGACTCATGGAGGGACCACTGAAGACGATCCTCTATGCTGACGACGTCGCCTTGATAACTGATAGTAGAGAGGAACATCAAGTCAAGGTGCAGAAATGGCAGAATGTCCTGGCAGAAGGTGGGCTCCGGTAAGTCAAGAACAAGTTCCTGAGCTCTGAAGAGGGTGCAGAGCCGATCGACAGCCATGGTGAGATCATCGTAAGAGTGGAGGAGTTCCGCTACCTTGGGAGCGATCTGACAGCCGACGGTGGCGTGGATCAGGCAGTGAATGCTCGAGTCAACGCTGCATGGATGAAATGGAGGGAGACCACTGGAGTGCTCTGCAATCGAAGGTGCTCAGAACGCTCAAAGGGAAGGTGTACCAGACATTCGTGAGGCCTGCGATGCTATACGGCAGCGACTGCTGGTCCCTGAACAAGAACCACGAAAGGCAGCTTCACCCGCTGAAATGAGGATGCTGAGGTGGGCCTGCGGCTGGACGCGGCTGGACAGGGTCAGAAATGAGGATGTCAGGGCGGTCATGCAGACTGCTCCTGTACAGCTAGAGATGTGAGAGCAGCGCCTTCGATGGCATGGACACGTGCTGAGGAGGTCTCAAGATCATCCGATAAAGAAAGCGATGGACTTCGAAGTGCAAGGCGAGCGATCGCGAGGAGCCCCAAAGAAGAGGTGGAGAGATCAAGAAAGATCTAAACCAATTAGGGGCCAGGGCCACAGCAGAGGACGCCCTGGACAGTGGCGACGAGTAACAAAGACAGCGGGCCCTGCGACTGCGCGGGACTAACTCTAAGGAGAAGAAGAAGAAGAAGGTTGGATCAGTCCCGTGGAAGACTGCCAAATGTTGAGCTCAACTTTATTCTTCTATAATTTCGGCTTTGGAGAAGTTTTGGAGATTCATCGCGGTCAAACTGTTGAAGAGATGGCTTTCCTTAACCGTAAGGACTCTATTTTCTGTCGTAGATGACAACGCACACCGAATACTAATATTAGGTAACGGATATCTTAGTGTCGCTGTTTGTATCGCGCCTTTTTTGAATCCGATTACCTTAAGGGAGCATGTTTTGAACCGATCACTCTTGTCGATAAGTACTGCTTGGTAAGTTGTTTATTATTATATTTCCCATGGTCGGTTTTCTATTTCACCTTCGCCTGTTTCAAATTTTCCTTTCAGACCATGCCTAGGTCCAGCGTGCAAATCAGCAATGACTTTAAAGTCGGGCTTAACTCTTCCGAATCCGTTAATCGAATTAATTCTGCATTCGGAGAAGGGACCATCACCATGTGGGACGCTCAGCGATGGTTCAAGAGGTTTCGAGAAGGTAATGTGGAACTCGAAGATATGGATCGTGGGAAAAAGCCACCTCTGTTTGAAAAAGGAAAGTTGATTCAACTAGTTGAAAGCGATCCTTATCAAACATGTGCTGATATAGCAGAGCACTTCGAGTGCGGTGAATCAACAGTGCGCAAATACCTCCACGACTTGGGCTACCCGAAAAGATTGGACAAGTGGACTCCTCATGTGCTCACGCCAGCCAACAAGATAGCGCGCTTCAACATCTGTTCAATTTTGCTTTGGCGTCACATGGTGTCTTTTTGGAAACGGATCATCACATGTGATGAAAAGTGGATCCTCCTCGATAGGTTTCGCCGATCATCATCGTGGGTCAAGAAGGGTTCTCAACCAGGAGTGGCTCCCAAACAAGATCTACACCCCAGCGAGACCTTAATTACTGTTTGGTGGAATTATAAAGGAATCATCTACGTAGACTACTTCCACCCCGTCGAACCATTGATGCGGACCGGTATTGTTCCAAAGTTGATGTGGTCCACTCCAAACTGGGGTGAGCCGGCATTGGTCAAAAGGTGTCATCCTACTTCACGATAACGCCAAACCACATACGGCAAAAAAGACACAGGAAAAACCCAGCTAGGCTGGGAAGTTCTACCTCATCTCCCTTACAGCCCAGAGCTAAGCCCATCTGATTGTCACCTTTTCTTGTCCATGTCTAATTTCCTAACCAACAAGAAATATATTTTTCTCAGATGATGTTAAATCGGACATATTCTAATTTTTTGCTTCTAAAAATTCCGAATTTTATGAGCATGGTTTTTTTTCCCTTGTCAGTAGATGGCAACGTGTAGTTGAGTCATTTGGTGATTATATTGTTTGATTTTCTAATTTCTGAATACAAAAAAAATCAAACTGAATCCAGTGTTGGAAAAGCGACACTAAGATATCCGGTACCTAATAGTTTTTGATACGTAACTGGGGAACGACTCCTTGGGGAGACGGTGTTGCTGCTGCTCCAGTCACCCCATGTGGAAGTCACAAGTTCAGCTTCTTCGCCTCTTCAATTATCTTCAGGGACCACAATATTTTCAATATACCTAGTTCTAGTCCTAGTGCTTGTTAAAGCACAGTTAGACTGGAATCATCTTCCACGGGAATCTTCAGAAGGCTGTCCTCAACAGCAAGGGCATGCTCACGACTCCCCTTAACTTCTCTGTGGAATTCTTCTGAACCGAGAGTTTGGAACCAAGGCTGTGCTGGGCTTCTGGAGGTGCTTATTTGGCCCCATCCTTCAATGTTACTTTGACAGGTCCAGTAGGGCCTACGTCAGAGTTTTAGCACATCGAAGAAAATTTGCTAGAACAAGATTGATGGACCCTTCAGTTCAACTCTATAAAAAACCCCAGTATAACAAGTAAAACTAATATTCAAATATGCTGGAGGAAAGGAAATAGAATATGCTTGCCAGATATATAGGGCTTCAGGTCTCGAAAGAAGATCCACTATAAAAATATTCCAAGTATGCAAGGCATCTCGGAACACGAATTACATTCCGAACAACCTAATATATAGCTGCACAAACGTGGAAAAAAACGATAACCGCTGTGAAGAAAACTGACTCAGAAATCGTGCGCCACCATGTGGCGCACGCAGCCACACAGAACAGGTTTGCAGCGGTACGCAAGTTAAAATATTGGGTTGTCTCATAATTCCTGTCTCAATTTTGACACTTTTGTTTGTTCAAGCTTTATTTCTACTAGGAAGCGACTGTTCAGCAGCATACCCACCGTCATGGTCACTGATCCTCATGCATTTGCTAGGAAACCTTTGAAAACTTTCCGCCTAGAATGAAGGAAGGTAGGGGATGAAGAAGTTGAAAAAGTCGTTTTGGGGGATTGTCGTATTCCTTAAATTTTCTCTCACATATGCTGGTTATGGACGCAGGGCAGGCAATGGTCCGATAAAGCGATGCCAGCGCTATAAGGTGGGTGGATTTTCGTGCCTGACCATATCCCTCAGAACGTGGCGAGTTGACATTGCACTGTGAGTCCGAGGGTCCATTTGGAGAAAGGAGATTCTGAGGGTTTCTGACGGTTTCCTCGCAATACCGAAGCCCGTGTGGAGGGCTATTCCACGCACCTTGGCAATGCTTGTCTTCATAGAGTGAAGTGGTTTCCAAACCAGGCCACACAGCGAATACAACAAAACGAGAGTATGTAGTATTCTCAGAATACGGAGTGCGGACTTTGGTTGAGCTGGTGTTTCCTCGCTGCGAGGTAGCCATAGGGCCTGCCCCGTGTTCTTGTCGTGGACTCATGATTCATCTCCACCGGTGACCGATTAGGTTTGGCTCTGCTTGTGCCCTCGCAGAATGACTTTTCCCCAGTTGGTCAAACGTGCTTCTCGCTCATGGTCGGCGTGACCACATGGTTTCAATCACGATTTCATTATTCTGCAGTTCTTTCCATCCTAATATTAGGTCGTGAAGAAAGTACTTGCGCTTTTGGACCTTGATTTTCGAATGCCTGCATCTCGGCTCATTCGAAACCTTTTTGATTGGGGTAAAGACTGTTAGAATGCACAAACCTCTGCCAATAATAGCTGCATTGAATCAGCCCAGTAGTGCAGAATACTGGAGCTCCAGAGACGATGAACACGGCGGAGGTCGTTTACGTATCACGTTGGTTTTGTTTCCATCCTGATAGTGTGTGCTGCTGCATCGGCTACGCCCAGGTATCTGCTACAGTACCCTGGTAGTAACGTCCGGATACACACTCAATTTACGGTACAAGGAGCATTTATCAAAAGTGACCGCAATCCCAGCGTGAGGTTGATTTTCGCCTTCGATTTTCGTTTCGCCTTCGCCATTGCGATTGAAATACTAGCTCAGTACCCCATCAGTAGTAGAGACTAAGCCGAACATAGCGCTTATCTTCTCTGCTGTGCTCCTTGCAAAATAGTTCATTTGTGGATCGTAAAGCATAATTATTCATTATTGTCACTGATATTTTTATAGTCATTTAACCCGTTATGGGCGTGCTCTTCTGAAACCACTTGGTTGAGGTTCTTAAAGCACAATTCAACATATTGACGTATTTCGCAATGAAACGGTCTCATACAAAAAAAATTTGAATTTGATTAGAAGTGAGACAGGAATTATGAGGCAGCCCAATATTTTCAACATATCAGTAACTATAAACAAACTCCGTTACGCCTATGCTTAGCATATTTTGCAAAAGTGACTCTTACTAGCTAATTTATATGAAATTTTAGGACATTGCACTTCGCTCGGCGGTGTATTAACTAGTGTTTTACATTATTGATTAGCTTATTAATCACAGACCAGGACATCTACGTCCTTTAACAGTCTTAAGACACATGGAGAAGTTTGAACTATAACAAAATTCTACTGTACAGGGGAGGTGGAGGGCAAAAAAGACATTTTGCCGATTTCGGACCTCGACCCTTTTTTCTTCGCAGGAATTGCCCTCGTTGACGAGTTACACAGCAGGATACTACCTAAATGTCCCTTTACAAGTGAACGCAGGCCCTCCTTCACTGCCCTCACCGTCTTCAAAATATGACGTCATCTGTCACCGTCGTCAGCTCAAGGAGTCTACCGTAAGTGCTTCAGCCTGAAGCTCTTGCGCAATTTCGTGAATCGATTTGATTTTGGATAGTTTTCTAGAGGCATTAGCTCCCACTATGCAAATCCCCTCAAAACTAATTTCCCAGTAAAGGTCGTTATAGTGAACGATCCTTCGAAGACCCCATTCAGCTCGACCAGTGCACCATGTTTCCAGGGCAAATTCTTCTGAAGCCGTCCACGTAGGTGACCACCATGAAGATTTTCTAGAAAGAAATGTGCTCTTCAATACTGAGTTGGGAGCATTCCGTCCGAATTGAGCAAAGTGTGCTCGAATCCACCTGAAAGTGGAGACAAAATGCCTTTTTTTATTGGCCCTCCCTGTACAGTTGAACTTCTAGAGCTTTCAAATACAATCCCTTTGAAATCTGAGATTTCTTTTCTAAACTTCCAATTCTAGTTCCAACAGTAAAGGATAAAGGAATGCGGCACGTATTCTACCTCCATTTCTACATTCGTAGTGGCGCTCGAATGCAATGTGGCCTATACAATAATTTTCGGGGGCCAGCCGATGTACAAGTCAGTGTTTTTTATCCTCCCAGACAAGTGTGGTAGCAATTAACCGAACCCGGAGGAATGGAAGGCTTGGTTGACCCGGGCGACTCACGACCCAGGAATTGATCTCCGGAGGATTCGCGTGGTAGGCGTGCCAGTTTCCATAACACCACTTCCGCCCAGTTCCAGCAATACATGATCAGCTCAAAATCGCATGGGACCAGTCATATTGTTTATTAGCGTAGTCAAAATTTTGATAGAAAAACTGCTTTTAGGGAGAATTCTGCCGCATTTTGTGCGAGAGTTGGGCGCGTCAAAAAGAGGCGTGGTCCCACGCTACGTGCAAATCCGCATTGTCGCCAAAGGTTAATAGGCCTTTCTTTCAACTTGAGACTATGTTTAAGTCGTACAAAACAATAACAATAATAAGGTTTACGAAAACGGACTCATAATCTTTTGTTCTCAATTTTCGGTGATCTCTTGCGAAATGGAATCAAAGATGTATTGTGTAGTCCTATAATTTCTGGCCGATTTTGGTAATCCAATTTTCTTCCTGTCAAGTTAGCTGCGTAACGAAATAATATGTGAAAAAGAAAATAAATAAAATGATATGTTGAAGAACACATAAGACCTTAAGCGATGATGTTTCAGAAGCTCAAATGTACAACGCGATAACTAAGTAGGATGCGGAATAGACCAACGACTAAAACCTGCGATTGTGCTTCGAGAACATTCAAAGGAGAATCTTGCAAGGAGCGCATTAGGCAAGATCGGCGCTGTGTTTGCCCCACTCTTTGCTACGTATCGTGCACTGAGCTATCGGCTTAATAGCATCGGCAGAGACGATAGGAGCTGCAAAGTTCAATCTCATGATGGACTTCCAGTCACTTGCGATGAGAACCCCATTCGCTACCAATAAGAAGTGCATCCGAACGCTATTAGCAAATTCGTAGCAAACATCCTAGAGCAGTCTACGCTCCATGAGTCGACACCTGAAGTGAAGCGGCTGCAGCAGTGTGAAGTCTTGATGGAGACAGCATGCATCTATTGATCTGACCGAGAAGCATGCCCGACCATCTACAAAAGTTTCATTCTGCGACCGCAAAAACAGGACTTCCCTGGTTGGCCATCAGTGTAGATGGGTCATCAGTCCACCATGATAACAACACGAAGCACGGGTCGTGGCTACCTCGCAGCTTGAACCCATCACCTTATCTAAAGGTTTGTGGACCGTCTCACTTCATGTAGACGCATTGCGAAGCTAATCATGGAATAGTTCCCGAGGTTGGCCACAGCAGTGCAGGGGAACGGTTCGAAACGTCTCGAATTCTCCTTGCTCCGGAAGAACACCCGAAATCTCATTGCAAAGATAACTCGCCACATTTCGAGGGGGACTGGTTGGATCACGATGCCTCATCTGTCGCATAGCCCTGACATTACTCCATCGCGCTGTCCTCTTTCCAGCGCCCTGAATCAGCAGCTACGAGAAAAAAAAAGTCAGTAAATACAACCATCCCAAAACGACCTCTACAAACTCTTCATCCTACAACTTCACTTGTTCAGAGAGGAATGCATTCATTCTCCTTAGTAAATGAGTTGAAGATCGGCCATTAATTATGGGACAAGCCAATAAATAGTGACGAAGTGAACACTGCCAGTTTCATGTTTCTATTTTTGCAAAATATTTGTGTGCAACACCGAAAAGTGCAAGCTCAACGACTCATGTCTCAGCCTAGTATTATTTGAACAGTTTTTCAAGGAGATTTGAGCTGGTTGATACTTTTCTCCAAGCTCCGGTGACCTTTTTGGTCATTTCTCTTCTTAACATTTCTTTCCCGCCGTGTGCTGCTACACTTCTTTCATTCTCTACGGGTTCAGGTAAAACCTAGACTCCCTCTTTCCACTGGTTTTCAGTCTTCTAGAACGTTCTTACCAGGAAGGTCTTTCAGGGGTGCCAAGCTTCAAAAGCATTTCAAAACACTTTTGTATGATATAGGGACGCATATGTGAACCATAGAGCCATGGTTAATTTGCGCAAAATGGAGTTAGCATGATTAATGAATGCTACATTCATTCAGTAACCCTTACAAATGAGCTTTGATCAAAAAAACTGTTGGAGAATTTGTGACTCCAGAACGGCCCCGCTTTGATGACCTTGAGATTCACGCCAGTGAGCGATTCCAGACAGGCGCTACGCGAAAATAAAGCAAAATGCTCTGCTGATGCACGGTAAGTGGAGCTCGGTTTGCAGAAAACATTACCCTCTACGTCGCGGTCTTTATGATCGCTCCAGAAATGGAGATGAAGCTCGGCGAGTGGAAGAGCGGAGAACCCAACAAGCCGTTTTGATACAAAGAAGAATCTTATTTCAAAATCGTGCGGATGGTTTTGATGGTTGTCCACCATCAAAATGGTTGTCTGCCACTGCCTATTCTTTGGTGATATTTTTTATTTATTGAAGAAAACTTTGAGAAAACTTACCGGAATCTGACGGAAAAGGTATTCCAGTTTGCTGGCTGCAGCACTCATGGGCTGCCGACCGATAGGTGAACCTCACGGATGATGAACGGTCGAATTTTCAGAACTATGTCAAAGTCTCAATTTCCTCTAAATCTTCTACCTAAAGGAGCCTCCAATGCCTGAACATCATTATAACGGCCACTTTTTCAAATGGCTCCAACATGCGTACCTTCGGCGCCGTTTAATGCTCTTCTGGTTACAACCTTTTAAGGTTAGATACCAGTAAAAAACCTAAGTGTAATAGTTACTGATGATCCTTATAATGAATGATACCTAATACTATTGGCAATGCCACTATTTCAAGATGCGGGATGAAGAAGAATAAGTGAAAAATAGAGATTGGTTGGCTTTCTTGTCAAGCGGCCCGGATCATTGCTTAGAAAATCTATTTGCAGAAAAGCGCTGGGAGGAGGGAGTACTAAGTAGACAAAACAGCAGACGTACCAATTGCACTACACATGGGCAAATTTTACTCAAGAAGCTGTGAGGATCGGAACGCCGTGCACACTGAACACACAACTATCGTGCTCTAATCATAACCCAGGCCTGCACCAGTCGGCTATGCCTTCTCGTCTCACAAGAGCTTATAAGCTTGGAAAACGGGTTACCGAAACCTCGAGACGTGGTATACCAACCACCCTCGTGGAGAAGGTAGGCTAGCGTCGCGAATGACTCGGATCGTGAAAGGTGCGAGACGTCCTCTACACCTCAGGGCACTAAAATGACGACGAAGTATCTTTAGATTAAGATTCGAAACGCCAGCCGATACGCCTATAAAGAAGGTGTGTTTCGTAATGGCAGAATAGCAAATTATGAAAGTGATTAGGAGTCCAATGAGACAAAGATTAACAAATAAAAAATATTCAATACGTCGAGGATGCTCAGCAGCTTCAAAACACGACATACTAATAGCCTTTTCTAATTACGGTGGGTAGTTGAACACCAGAAGTTGGGAAGGTAATGACCCCAGCCATTTTGCTGGTTGCCTTACACAGCAGTTAGCTTTTAGTTCCCGATGCCGATTGCGCACTTGCTGATAAAACACTTAGAACGTAACCCTTCGCCCTCAAAACGGACGGCATGTCCAGAATTTAGAAGGCTTCAAACGCCGCTCCGCTGCAAGGAAATTGAAAGCTAAGATCAGATAAGCTCCAACAGAGATTCCAAATCTATGGAACAGACTTTCCAAGTTGAGCTCCCGAATTCGACTTTGGTAAGCCCGTAACACAATCGATATTTGGAGACCTCAATTTTGTGGTCCACGCCTGAGTTTCTATATCATGCAAAACAGCGTTTCGAAAAAGCGCTTCTCACCCTAATCGGCCTCTCTCGTCAGTCCACTCTGATCGCCGCGCAATGGCGTTCCTTGAGGAGTTCTTGGCCAAAACTTAGAAAACAAGCGTTTCTCCCACATATTTTAAAAAGAAAAAGTGCATACCTCTCTCATACAATGTTTAATTTGCCGCTACCCTCTAGTAGCACCAACGATTCCGCTCTGCCTCTGCCCTCACTTATGTTGGCTTCGGAGGATATCTCGACTCTCATACGCCTACTAAGAATACTGCTGCGCTTTTCGCCCTATTCTCCTACGCATGCGACCCACTCCCCTCTTCGTGGGTCAGTTTCAAATCAATGATTGACCCTGCTGACAAGCATTCGGTACAGCAACTCCAGCTCAGTCCGTCTGCCATGCCGTCAAACAAGCGTAACCAGGAAGACTTCGCGTTCACCATTCCTACAGCTGTGATATTTGATTTGCTTCCAGCCGTCCATGCACACAAAGATGTAATGCATTTTGAATTAAATTAATTATAGTACGCTATAATGACGCTCATATTCATTTCTTGAGCAAATAGCGCGCACTATTGAAGAAAAGTGCGTCCGCCTTTGACAATTTCGAATTAGGCAGTGAGAAAACCAAAGGAATAAAAAAAATCGATAATCGACCGGTCTGTGAGAAATGGGCATGAAGAGGAGATGACGTCATTTAACAAAACAGTTTTATTACGACCGCTTTTCCTAGTTGTCACGGATAAAATACCTGTGACAGAGTGTGACTGCAGGTTGCGCTGCGGGCAGAGCTGTTGTCAACGAGAACGGGTGAGCAGAATCGACGCACTTGATTTGTTTCCATCGTTGCAAATCTTCTGAAACGAGAGGAAAATGGTTGGAAAAGAGGTGTGCGAAATGAATTCATAGTATTTGTATAGTGTATAAATATAATATATACGCACACCTACTGTTCACCGCGTTTCATAATGATATTCCACTTACAGCAGTGCTCAGAAGTGGTGAATGCGGAATTGTATGCTTATACACTAGAAATACTAGAAGATGTGTGCATCCACACGTATGGCGCTAAACCGAAGTTTCCTCGTTTCAGCAATAAAGTGATCCAAAGCATTGCAGCTCAGTAGTGCAAGAGCGCTGGCGACAGCATGGCGTGTCATAACTGAGAGACAACTTCAGCTGCATCCTGAGCTTCATCGAGGCAGGATAGGGAATGGTAACGAAATTCTTTGCAGAAAAAAAGGACCAGAAAAGTAAATGAGAAATTTGCAAAACTTGAAGAGAGGTGGAGGGAGTTTCTCCAATAGACAGTGAATCCATTAATTGATTCCATACTTAGGTCCATTTAAGCGCCTCTAGAAGTTTATCAACAGAGTATTGATTCTGCTCAATGTTGATTGTCCAGTCGCTTGTTCTGCTGGATTGTAAATTTTTTTTCCTGATATGAAATTTACCTGGAGTTCGGCCATACACGGAAATCTCCAGCAGAATAACTTTTCGTTCTTTGTGATGTTCTGTGCCATACAGTTGTTATAGTGGGACACATTTATTGGTCAAAGTTTCAACAATTCGTCGTCTTCAGGACCTGTGGTGACTTCTCTTGTTAGTGAGCAAATAAAACTTAAAAAAAATGATTTCGTTCTTCTCTCTTTCTCCCATTTGGCAAAAATGTGGTGATTTGGTGAAAAAAACATGTCTTCAAAACATATCCAAATTTAAACGAATTCTTAGAACATATCAAAATTTAAACGAATTTGGGGCAGAAAAAAAGTTGCGGCCAGTTGGAGGAAGACTTCTGCGTTTGTCCAGAAACTCGTATTTTATAATGATCCTGAAGAGCTCCCCAAATATAGTATGTGTCACACTTGATTGAGAATCGAACATCATCACAAAGCTCCAGGTTGTGAATGCCAAGAAGAGCTTATGCTCATTCTTCTCAGAGATGTTCGCGTTTTCTATGTTTCGAAATGATTGGCATTCAACTTTTGCTTGGTGAGACTTGACTTGAGAAAATCATCAGTGTTCTTCTTTAGGTTGACAGCGAAAAAAATAGCCGTCGGTTGAAAAGGAGCAACTCGCCGCAAAAAATGAAAAAAAACTTTAGGCAGGCTTAAGTAAAAATGACTTTTAAAATGCTTCTTAGAATTCGTCGTTTATCTCAATTGAAAAACCACGAAGAATGTCGTCTTCTTCTTCTTCGCCTAGCGTTAGTCCCGCGCAGTCTCAGGTCGCCTGTCTTTTTATCAGTCGTCGCCACTTCGCTCTAGGGCATCTTTCTGCTGTGGCCGTGATTTCACTTAGGTCCTTCTGGATTACGTCTTCCACCTCTTCTTTGGGGCACCTCGCGAGGTCGCTTGCCTTGCGCGCGAAGTCCATTGCCTTCCTTATTGAGGTCGGTCTTGTGCCGCCTTGAGCACGTGCCGCATACCATCGCAGACGCTGTTCCGTATCTTCAGCTGGACAGGGGCCAGTCTGCATGAACCGCTCTGACCTCCTCATTTCTGACCCTGTCAGTCGCGTTCACCAACACAGGCCATCTCAGCATCCGTCATCTCAGCGGAGTGAAGCTGCTTTTCCTGGTTCTTGCTCAGGGCCAAGCACTCGCTGCGTATAGCATCGCAGGCCTAACCACTGCCGATACACCTTTCCTTTCAGTGTTCTGGAGCACCTTTCGATCGCAGAGGATCCAGTAGACTCCCTCCACTTCATCCAGGGCCGCGTTGATTCGTGCCTTTACTGCCTGATCCACACTTCCGTCGGCTGCCAGATCGCTCCCGAGGTATCTGAAGTCCTCACTCTTTCGATGATCTCTCCATGGCCGTCTACGATTGGTCAATCCCTCTTCAGAGCTTAGGAACTTGGTCTTCCGGACATTCAGCCGAAGCCCACTTCTGCCTGCGCTTCCTGCATTTCTGGCACCTTGCCTGTTAGTTCTTCTCTGCTTTCCGCTATCAGGGCGATGTCGTCAGCGATAGAGGATCGTCTTTAATGGTCCTTCCATGAGGTCCCTCACCATGACATCTAGTGTAGGAGGAAGAGGAACGGGCTCAGAGCTGACCTTGGTGAACCCCAACCGTGATGTCCACTTCCTTTCGTTAGGCCGTCGTGGGGTGCGGATAGCTGCCTTCGCCCCATTGTACATGTCCTTCACCAGAGAGATCAGGTGTTTCTGGCACCTTCCGCTCCCGAGCGTCCTCCACAGTACTGTTCGAGGTAGTCGGTCGAACGCCTTCTCCAGGTCGAGCAAGGCTAGGTAGCAGGGTCGGCGTTTCTCGGTACTTTTCCATCACTTGCTCGCGATGAAGATGGCATCCGTAGTAGACCTTTCAGGCATGGAAGCCGAACTGTTCCTGAGAGATCGGGACCAGCTCCCGCAGTTGCGACGTCGACCAGTCGCTCGTACAGCGTCATTGTATGAGCGGTCAGCTTGATGCCGCGGTATTGGAGCAGTCCATCGCGTCACCCTTTTGCTTGAAAGATGGCGAACGATAGTACTTGTTCTCCCAGGCATCCGGCATCCTCCCTCGGTGGCTTATCGTGTTCAGGAACTGGGTAAGCCATTCCGATCCCATACCCTCCGAGCGCCTTCCATGCTCGATTGGCACCTTATCTGGACCACTGCCTTTCCAAACCTTGCATCTTCTTAGTTCTTGAACGAACCTCATCCTTGTCCATGAGTGAGATCACGGCCAGCCGTCGCCTCTGCTTGTGTGAGCTGTCTTTGTGGGGGTACTCCTCGTTCAGGAGCGCCTTGTAGTACTCCTCCCACCTCTTCCTGACTTCAGTTGGCTTTCTCAGGATGGCACCGTTACTGCTCTTCACACTCTTCACCACCCTAATGTCTTGGGTAGCCAGATGCCGGGCTTTGGCCAGTCTGAAGACGAACTTTTCTGCGTTTCGGCTCTCTAACTTTTCGTACAAGGCGTCCATTTCCGTGTTCTTCGCCTTGGCGACGGCTGCCTTAGCGAGCTTCTTGCAACCCTTGTAGGCAGCGAGGTCCTCTGGGCTCCGGGTCTTCTGCCAGCGCTTGTATGCCTCCTTCTTCTGCTTCACGACTCGCTGGACCTCCTCGTTCCAGAACCACGCTGCCTTGTCTCCTCTGAATCCACCTCGCGTCTCTCCCAGTACCTCCTTGG